CAGCTCCCTTCCAACTCCTCATATTCTGTGAAATTTTCTGTGAAATTCTGTGAAGGCATACAAAGAATACACTGGCAGCATGAAAGGGCGCCACACAAGACCAACTCTGGGGAAAGAGGACTCTTTACGGCCAAGGCAAGAAAAAATCCTTTCAAGGTTCTTTGATTAAGGTATCTGTGATGAAGGTACCAAACAAGAGATTAAGATGAAAGGTTCTTTGCATGCAAAGGACAAGATGCAAACAAAATGCTGTCAGTTTAAGCACCGAAACGGATTTTCAAATGCAGGAATTGAAAAAGTAATGGAATACAACAGTGTGAAAGATGGTCACCGGCATCACCAGGATCATAAAGATGACATGCAAGTTTTGAGCCCTGGAAACCTCAGTTCTGGTACAGCAGTTTTCTGGAACAAAATATGGCTTTTGTGGGAAAGAGGTGGATGGCTACCACAGGGTGTGGTTCTAAGAGGCAGCACTGGCCCCAGCAGAAAAAGAGCTGTCCTTAATTCAACCTTATTTGGGATATGCACCTCTTCTAGGCCACACATTTAAAAAACCAAACTTCCCAATACACAGAGAGAAATCCAGTAGTGTAACAGAAAAGAAAAATAATCTTCTCTTTTTTGCTCATGTCAAAGGGATACATCAAAATCAGGAGTTGCCAACCTGCAATTTTGTTCTCCTTTTGTCAAAGGCACTTGTGATTCTGACGACCTGGCTTTGCAACTTGGTACAAATCTACACAACAGCCTTCCAGGTCTTCCTTGCTTTGAATTTCCTCCTTCCACACTGTGTATGTGGGATAGACAACACTTTCCAAAACAATGTTGGGTCTGGGTTTTGTTTTAGGGTTTTTTGTTGCTGTTTTGGGTGGGTTTGGGGCAGAGCAAATGTTTGGGGTTGTTGTGTTGGGCTTTTTTGGTGGGAGTGGAGAGGGGTGCTTCCCCAAGCCAGACTGCCCTTCATCTCGAAGCAAGCTACTTCTGGCTGTAACAAGGATTTCCTACTCTCCTGGAAGACTGCAGGCACCAAAGGCACGCACAGCATGCTCTGATTCGTTACATGCTGTAAAATAAACCTGGACTCCTTCAGTCTGCACTTGATTATACACTGGGATAAGGATGAGAGGGATTTGCACAACCAGAAGCCAGACACATCTCACAAAGCAGGTGCTGTTGAAAGCGTATGAAGATCAATCCACCCCAGGAATCACCAGTGCTAGGCATTCTGAAAACGCCAGTGGTCAAATTGTGACGACAATCTTGCAATTCTCTCTCTTTCTCCATTTTCCAAGTGATAAAAGGCAAGTTCCCATTCTCCCTTTTACCAGTCCCCCACTAGAGGGCTGTAGGGGACAACACACAGGCCTGCCAGGCCATCAGGAACACCAGAAGAGGTGGCTCATATACATATACCTATACCCGCAGATATTCCAGGCTATGGTGTCTGGTCATCTGCTACCTTTCCTTAACAGGTATAGAGCAGTTGTCTGCAGTTGTCTGAAACAACTGGGTGCGATTCCCGCACCCAGCCATACAGAATTTTGCAGGTCATGACTAATTTGACATTTTAAGTCACAATTCGTTTCTGCGCTGGCTCAGCTCCTCATATTTCTGCAACACAGTATTGCTTTGTCTGAAAGAGTCTATTTGAGCACAGGCAAAGCTATAAATAAATTAAATTCACTACTAGAAACAGCTAACAATGGTGCTGCAGAAAAAAAGTCACTGGTCCAGAAGAACAACCTCTCACGTTGCTAAAATGAACTCATATGATTCTCAGGCCACTTATCTACACCATGGGTTACCCTACCTTTTCAATTCTCTGACCACAACTACTACCATTGTAAGCTTGCATGTTTTGTATGACTCCAAGAAATTACATGGAATAAAAGTGGCTGAGTAGAGTGTGCACTGTACTTTAGTACAGAGCCACACACTGGAGCCTTTACTTCTAAACATAAAGAATGACTTATTTGTAAAGTGTTTCGTGCTCTACAGTTAGTATCAAGCAGAGGCACTGCTGATGCTTTCCTAAAGCCTGATTTTTTAATATAAGAACACTTAATTAAAAATTGACTAGATACACATATAAATGGTAAACTAAAACCAAAAGCTGGTAAATCTGAAGGTGGTAATTTTCCCTGCAAAGTTATCTGGACAATGACTTGAGACTAGCAAAACACATTAAAAAGTATATACAATGTGAGCTACCTAGAAGGCAGGAACAGAAGGCAGAGCACTGAGGTTTAAGTCCATCAGCACGGAGGAAGTAGTGGTACAGCAAACATTACAGATTGCTTTTTCCATTTGCATCTTACCTTCACATACAGCTCATATCGCGCCTTGACTATAGGATTATTCAAGATACTGGTGGCAGTAAGAACACTCTCCCTTTTTATTTGTTCTCTGTAGGCCTAGAAAATAAATTTTACAGCGAATAATTATCATACACCCATTTAAAACCATCACATAAATGTGAACTCATGGCCAGTTTCTGTAAGGAAAATCATGAACATACTGCAACATCAAATGCTTATTCTTAGCACTTAAGGCCAAACCACGTATGATATTCCACAATCACAGCAGCGCATATAGAAACAACACTACTGTGGCAATATTGCTTACTATGACAACTCTGATTTTTTTCCACTCACGCTACTCTTTCAACATTTCTACCAACCTTTAAAGGTATCATTATAAATTTTAACGGGGATCAATACCATACTACTGCCAATTCTAAACTGCCCTCGCTTTTCTTCAAACTAAAAAGGTAACAGCCAAGCAAAAACAAAACCCCAGGTTTATTTTGCTGGAAACACGTTTTATGTTTTGCAATTTGAGTAATAAAACCAATGCTTCATGGCAGTAAAAAAGTTTCCATAAAATATAAATGTCATTCCTAGTAACCTTCTCAGGACTTAGCACTGTGAACTGATAAGCACAACAATATTTCATTAACTGGGGGTGCTTAAGCACTGGCTACTTCACAAGACATTATATTTACAAAGTAAGAAAGACTTTCTAGAGAAGAAGTAATACCAACAAGAATTTTTAAATTACTTGCACCAAGTACTGTAACACTTCTCACCTACTGTTAGATTATGATTGCTTTTTAAATAAATAATATTGTTTTCCTTACTTGTTTTCCTTTCGTGTGATCCGGAGATTTTAAGTGCTGCTGAACAGAACTGTGTAAGGCAGGAACATACACACTGCAAGCACTGCAATGAACAGTCTCAACTTTCATCATATGGTCATCAGCAGTAACCCCTGCCAAAGAGGGAACAAATGAGTAACACAAAGTGTCTTAGTCTAGGGAAGCAGAAGAGGGGACTGTTCAGTTTATACCAGAAAACCAGAGTGCTCAGTTGTTAAACGTGTCAAACTGAACCACAGAGGAATATTCATACAAATTTGGGCATCAAAATTGGGCTCTCTGAAGGCAACGCTGAAGGAGGAAGTTTTTCACTTCAACACTCCTTTTCTCCACAGACTATACATGAGATCCAGAAAACAATGTTTGCTGTCTGAGGTCATGATATATGAACACCTACCAGCCTAAACAGAGAGCAAATACAAATGATACCTCAAATTGAACTATTTAGTGATCAAAAATGTTGTCTATTTAAAATCAAGAATAACCAATATCCTTAATAATACTCACTTTGATACAAGAAACAAATCAAGCTTCACCAAAGCAGCTGAATTTACTTTAACCTTCATAAGACCAACCAATTTATTTCCTTGCCTACCCTCACCACCAGGAAGAAGCACATGAATTCAACTCTTCTAGCAATTTTAACTATCAGCTTGCCAACAGAACATTCTGATCATGAAGGCAAATAGGCCCTCCAGTATTTAAGGAAAGTATATGAAAGAATTTGGGAGACTTAAGATGTTGGCTATATCTGGTTTTAAGCAGTTTTTAGCATTTGAAATTGAATTAAAGTAATATTCAAATACAGCTACTGCCTAAAGTAAAAAGTACTCAAAAGATGTCCCTTCTGGCTCCAGCACATCTTTTGAAAGCCCTCAGGCAAAAGGCAGTGGAAGGATAAGCACAGCAAGGCAGGGGCACACAAAGTGCTCTACAAATCTGCTTATGGGGCAGGCAAAGGGAAAAAGAAAAGTCAGGGCAAGGTGCATCTTGGCAGCCAAGAAAGTGCTCAAACTCCTCCTTTTTCAGTGTTCCCCAAAACCACAGCAACTATCCCACCTGCATTAACCAGATCCTTGCCGTCACGTTTGACCAGAATCACCTCACCGCTCTATTACCTGCTCTCTTCCAATCCATCTGCATCATCCTCTTACCACTCCTCATACATTATAAACAAGTAAGACTGTGGCAAAGTCCACATAATTCTGTTTGTCAAGTACCTAGCACAATATTATCTTGCTTTCTGACAAGGCTACCTGGCTAGCAAACATAAATAGCAAGGTTTGCTATCTCCCACTGTGCTTACATTCCACGTTGTATCAGAAATGAAGCAAGGAATCCCAACCAGGTACAGAAAAGTTGTGAAAACGGATCGTTTTAATGCAAACATTATCAAATTCAAAGAAGAATGAAAGGAGAGTGGGACAGGCAGAGCTCCACAGGATGCACTTTCACATAAAAACCATCACTCACCTTCCATTATATCTTTTTCAGCAGCTTGAGCATTTTCTGTTTGGTTACTTGTCTGCTGCTTACGCATGGCTGTCTTCTTGAATTTATTCACCATACACTCCTACAGAGAATCAGGAAAAAGAAACTGTCACACATTTGATGTACAATTGTTTATATTCCAGGAGGAACCTATACTTAAAATATTACTCAGAGTATCTCTGTAATAAATAGCAATTAATTGCTATCGCTTCTTGAGGCAGTACTTTTAATTGTCAAAGGAACACTATTTTACAGACTCTGGATTTGTATTATATATATTTATATAAGTATTATATAAATCAAAAAGCTGCTGTCTTACATGAAGAAATTCCATCACTACTTTGTCAAATTTGGTTTGCTTCTGGATATGATCCAACGTTTCCTGGTGAGCCGCACTCTCCAGATGAGCCTCAATTTCTTTTTCTTCAAACGTTCGAAATTTGCAAAACGAACAAGTGAATGCCATTCTATCAAGAGAAATACATTAAATAGTATTATTAAACAAACATCTTTCCCTCTCTCCTCAAAACTGTGAGGACTTGACAAGCCTAATCAGGAAAAGAATGGGAAAAGTGTTCTTTAAAGAAGCCGAAGTGAATAAAAACAAAAATCCAGTATTTTACCACTATGAACTGCTACAGGACCCAAATATAAGTAACAAATTTTCTACACAGAAGATGAAAACAGCTGAAATCAGAAGGTAGCCATTTAAATGCCTCATTATTCTGTGAGTTTATCTATCACAGCTCCCTAATTTCTGTCACCTTTTGTAGTACTTCTCATACTCAAGCCAGTCCATGACTTCCTAACTACAACTAGTCAAAGGGATTCATTTAAAGCTCATTTTCCATACAAAAACTATGTAATCTTTACAAGGAAATACGGCCTTCTCAGTCCAATAAGGAACTGACACTGATTATATCCTACTAATACTATATATTATATAGTGCTGGCCATTAGCCCACTTGGCTGTGACAAGACTAAGAAAAGTTGCAGAACTGTCTACTTATTTTTGCTACAAAATAGCTCACCACACATATAAAACCAGAATAAAGGCAATTTCTAACAGCTTAAAAAAGTTAGCATGAATTTAACTGAAAAATATACTTCAAAAGCGCTACCATGCCAAGTTGCTTCTCAAGTGTGCACTGATGCACCTGTGGGGGAGACAGGGTTAGGAAACTGTATTTTCTGATACAGCAGAGGTCCAGTGGAACAGTCAAGTCTCCTAAGCCACAGGATTTGGATGGTGGGTTCTGGTTTGGGTTTTTTCTGTTTGTTTGAGTTAGGTTTTTGGCTTTGTTTTGGGGTCGGGGGGGTTTAGGAGGTGGCGGGGGGGGGGTCTTTCTCACATATTTTTATTCTCCTAAAATCAGTCCAAAGGGCCCTTCAGGAAAGACAGTATATTATTACAAAAGGATAAAGAGGAAGAAAACCACTGCACACAAGACAGAAGTTATAGCACAAACCTGTATCCATCACCGTATTTCTCACTGTTTTTTTCCCTTCTACGCCTTTGCTTCTCTCTTCTAGCCTCAATTCGCCGCTTCTCTTCTTCCTCACTTTTAACTTCTCCTTTGCCATCTTAACACACAAATAGAGGATTTTAAATGTTATATTAAAAAAACAACAAACAAACCCAAACCAAACAAACACCATGTGTCTTCTCTGTCTCCTCCACAAACACCTCAAAATGCAGAGAAAGATCCTATCCCAAAGTGGTTCAATGGCTTGTTTTGCTTTGTTTTCCTCCTCTAAAGACAACCAATTTGCTTCCAACAATGCAAACTTATCAGTTAAGGGGTTACACTTCAGATTACACTCATAAAAGGAAGGAAATGCAGAGTTAAAGCAAATCTTACCCTGACGTGCCCAGTTATTAAAGGTCTCTCCAAGTGACCAGGAAAGGGTACTGGAGGTGTGTGGGGAGAAACGTATTTAAAACTCTCCGTGGTTTAAAAGCACCATTGCTACAATCTCCTTACATTAAAAAGAAATGACCTAAGTCCATTCTCTTCTGCAGAGAAGGCAGTTTCCAAAACCAAAAGCTAAAGCATAGGTTCCGATAAAGGAGACAAGGCAGCGTTTCATAAAGGTATCATACCCAACACCTGAACTTCAAGTTATTTAATCTTTTCCCCACTAGACATCCCTTGATTTCACAGAAAAACACTCCAAAGATTTTCAGCTGAAGAAATAAAGCAGTGAAAGAACGAGCTGAGAAGAAAAAGAACAAACAAACTAAAAACCTCCACCACACACACAAACACCAAAAATCCAACCAGACCTTCAAAAGAACAACTTCATTACATTATCACCTGGCACATAACTAAGAGTGCAAACAAACAAGTGAGTAGAAACTGGGTTTGCAGCATTAAAGACTTCTACAGGACACTGACTTTTGGCATAAGTGTACATATGTTTGCCTATCTTATGTCTGCTTTAAAAGCCTATTGACAAAGGGAAATGATCAGAATATTGTTCAGTGAAATATATATACCTCAGGAATGAAGTGTAAGCTGTTCATCAGTGGAAATGTTTTCAGTACTCAGCGATAAATCAAGAGCCACAGAGCTTTTTTTGCAAGTTTTTTGGGGGTTTTGGGTTTTTTTGCACTACACTGCTTTCTGTTGCTATTTGAATGGAAGCAGACTTCATAGAGGCTGACCTCTCTCCTGTGTTTGAACCCCAAAGGAAAACCAAGTGATTCTCTTTTTCCTGCTCTAAAAACTCCAAGTCACACAGATGCAATATCTAACGCGGCAAAGCAAACTGACTTACCTCCAAAAGTCTGGTACCCAAGATCATAAGCATCTCTTGTAAAGTCTTCGTATATAACAACTGCACCACTTGTGTCCACTTCAATTTCCTAATCAAAGTCAAATTCATAAGTTTTGTAAGAAAAAATATTCAACAAAACAATGCTGTTTCAATCCAGAAAAAGACAGTGCAAATGATTTCCAATAATCTGTTACTTGCTATTTTTATCAGATATGACAACGTAAGAAAGCGATTTGGGTGTAGTTAGACCCAGTGTACAAACACTTCAAGCCATGCATTTCTCCTTAATGCCTTGAAGTCTTTGTGAATGAGATTCACAATTCCAATTCTCCCTGTCTTCTATGAAAATACACTGACTTCCAATCCAGACTTCTAAATACTTAGTTGAGAATGTTAACGCTTCCACTCAAAAAGAAGGAAAATAACAGTACAGTCTTTCATCCTATATAGATATAGACAGTATAGATATCTATAAAATTATATAGATATACACATGCTTAGCTTATTAATCATACTCTTTCCACACTGTTGCAACTGATCTTTCTGTAGGTGGGAACTAAGCTTTGTACCCTATCAGGGAACATCAGTTAAGGCTGGTTCTTTTATTACTGACCCTCTCTTCCTGATGTATCTTACCTATTCTTCCTCTTTAGTAATCTCACTGTCATTTTGTACTTGGTTTCTCAGCCTGCCCAAGCAGGTCACAGGTGTATGAATTCAAGCTGACTACCTATGACAATATAAGAAGTGTTCATGTGACAGCTCTCTGTGCATTACACAAATGGGTGAGGTCTACAAATACACCTTGAAATTCATCTTCCGGGCTATCTGCACAAGCAGTAAGGATTTCAGACTGCCACCAAAATAGGACAGTTTTAGATAAAGTGAAGAAAAAAAGAGTAAGTTTAGAAAAACTTACTAAGGAAGTGCTTAATTTTTATAACTCTAGCTTAATAACTACTCATCTTAAGGTATGCTGTAAAAACTTTTGAAAGAAACACAAACATTTTCCAGTTCTTGGAATCTTTACCTCTATGGTAGAATCCTGGAAAGACGACTTCATATCTATAAACAGAAAAAGAGGAAGAAATAAATAATGCAGAAGTGCTGTCACTATCAATTCATTTTAAGGCAATAAGATATTTTGGGGAAAAAAAAATAAGGTTGCTCTACAGCTAGGACAGTCTATAATTTATCATATTTTAGTAATAACACTAAATGTAAAATCGGTTATCCTTAGGAATATAAACCAAAGTCCTCTAGAAGCAATCTAATCCATGAAACAAGAAAGTCAAGACTGAAAGGGCAGGAAAATTTTGAGATATATTTTCATACATACATTGCATAGCAACTGCATCCAGTTTTCTGTCAGCTGTTACCCACTTTTTAGTTTTCAACTACATGATGCTGCTCAGAGGACCTTTCAGGTCAAGTCTCAGAAGACTGCATTAAGCCACACAACAGTTTACTGAGAGGCTGATTAAAAGTGCATTTTAGTGAGACCACAGCTGCAATCTTGTGTCCAGTGCTGGGCCCTCAGCTCCACAAGGACAGGAACTGCTTGAAAGAGGCCAGCAGGGCCACAGAGATGAGATGCTGCAGGGAGTGGAGCATCTCCTGCTGAGGAGCGGCTGAGGGAGCTGGGGCTCTTGAGCTTGGAGCAGAGGAGACTGAGGGGTGCCCTCATTGCTGGGGATCCATTGGGAAAGGGCAGTGTCAGGAGGAAGGAGCCAGGCTCTGCTCTGGGATGGCCAATGCCAGGACAAGGGGCAATGGTCCCAAGCTGGAGCACAGGAGGTTCAAGCTGAAGATGAGGCCAAACTTTGTGAGTGTGAGGGTTATGGAGCATGGCCCAGGCTGCCCAGAGAGGTTGTGGAGTCTCCTTGTGTGGAGACACCCAAAGCCCTGGCCGTGTTCCTGTGTGACTGCTCTGGTGATCCTGCTCTGGCAGGGGTTGCACTGGGGGAGCTCTCCAGGTCCCTTCCAGCTCCTCACATTGTGTGTAATTCTAGTAGGCACTATCTACTCTACTTCTTAAACTAACTTCAACATTATGCAGTACATTGGTCCTTGGATTGTGAAAACCAGTGAGGGGAACTGATAATAAACTAGAAGTGCTCTGTGTGAAGGCATTTGAGAAAAGGAGAACCTACAAATGTACTGAAAGAAAAAAAGCTAAGCAGGAGACCTTCGGGATGAAAGTCTTTGTTATACCTGGATGCGTATTTTACAGACCCATTTCACCACACCAAAGTTGGCGAGCCCAGCAGTAACGTTCCCTTTACAAAAGGCAGAGAGATGTGTTCTATACACCCAGTGCGTGAAGTTTTTACAGTACTCCTGGAGTTAAAGGAACAGTTTTGTAATACCCAGTAGTGTGACTAGAATTACAAAATCAAAAATAAAGCGTTCACGTGGAAGTTTCAGCCAAGTCTGTGCGTTCACTTTTCAAGCTCCGAGATAAAGTCATTTTAAACATTTTTCAGGTGCTATTTGAAACCAAACTATATAAGACACTGCAGAACCAAATCACTGAGGAAATTACAAGCACACAAAAATTGAAGTTTGACTGCTGTACGTGCCGTTCATATTTAATATCAAGTTTACATTCCCTCAAAGGAAGTCGTTTATTCAAACCTCATGAGTGAATTTTTTCTCCAGTTTTGTCTGCAATATCTAAGCAGAGTTGTAGGACATCTTTAGGGAAGCTAAACAAACCAAGCACCACAAATACTTGGAAATCTGTATTGCCAGTTTATCTGTGGTATTTCCAGACCTTCTCTTCATTACAGAATTTCATTTACAAGAAGGAGCAATCTCTCTCTGCCTTTCATTAATTATTCAGTAACAATTTTCACTGTTTCCTTAGTTTGCCTCCCTTTCCCTCTCCTCTTCGCCCACACCTTACGTCTTTATTTTAGCCGCATTGCAGTCGATGCGCTACTTTTTATATCCAAAGTATTTGGAGAGCAGAGCCCAGGCTCACACAAGGGCATATTTTAATATCTGTCAGGCCTTGTCGCTTGAGGCAACCTGAGATCTGAAATTATTTTCAGTGGTGAAAATTTGCCTCCAGGAAGTATCATTATAAATACTGAATGAAAAGTCTTCAGTAGTACTTATTTAAACACATCAAAATATTCCATTTCATTCAGCATATTTTCTTTGCAGTAGAAGAGGTAGGAGAATAAATTCAGAAAAATCCGTTGTGGGGTACCTCAAAGGTAGAAAATTAAGAACTTTGGCACTTGTTACTTACTAGGCGATTTTTTCTGGCTCAGCTTCAAAATAGGTTTTGTCATTTTGGGTTTCTTGATAAATGTCCCACCAGGTTTGTTATACGGCTGTGGAATCATTTTTCTTTTTATTCCTCTTGCAGCAACTGCTGCAGGACTGGGTTTGTTATGATAGTCAACAACAATTCCAGGTCTGTGCATTCCTCCAAAGTCTCCCATATGCTGCAAATGTGTGAAATCAAGAGAAAGGTATTAGTAGATGAAATCAGGAGAAATAAAACAATTACTTGGTACAATAAAACAGTGAGCTAAGTAAAATCTGCAGGGGAAATTTAAGTTCCTGGTTTGATGCTGTGTTTTGCAATGGCTTTGTGGGCGTTTGTCCAGTAGAACAAATCTCTTTGTATTAACTGTGTTTCTGCTTATTCAGAACCATTGTCCAGACAAGGAACGCATCGATCAGAGTTCATCTCTCAGCCTAACATCCTGGCTCCTCTCTTCAGATTCTCTAGATGAGGAATGACTTCTCCCTCTGGGAAAAAACAGAGCTAACCAACCAAGTATTTGACACTTAAGTCAGCAGTCATTAAAAGAGAAAATAAATAAAAGCTTCTTATGCCAAATAATGAGCAGCAATTTGAAACCAGAGTGAAGAAGGTGTGGAACAGGGATTAATTGAAGGAAGCTCATTCTTTCTTTTACTTATTTTTCTTCTGAATTCAATAAATTCAGAATTTGAAAGTTGGGCATGGAAGGAGTGAAACAAAAACAGGGCAGCCATAGGAATGAAAATTCACTCGAAAGACTAAACCTATTCTTTCTAAAATGCTGTACAGTCATTTGTGGACACTTGTTTATGAACTTCTCTGAAGGTGTGGAATAAATGAGTAATCTGAAGAGGGAGAATTTAGGTAGCTGCAGTATTTTCAGAAGTGCTAACATACTTCTTAACTCGATTATTTGATTAATAAAGGGCAGAAGAGAGCCCACTGACTGGATGGGTGACTTGGATAAGCAGAAATATTTGTATTGCCATGAGAAGAGAACTAGTATGACACTATCAAAGTTCAAAGAACATAAGAATAACTTCAATATACTTTGTGAAAAAGTATGACTTCTTTTGAAGTAAATTTTAAGCGACAGAATGTACCAAAACAGGCACTTTTCTTATTCAGAAGTCCATGCACAAGATCTCCATGTTAATTTATTTAGTTGAGGTAAAGAACTACCTAGCACGTACATTACACTGTACACACAAACTTGACATGAAGTATGCACGTGGATAATTTCAAGTACTTTTCTTTTAAACAGATAGTCTATCTATTAAAGGTGCAATGCATTTTACATAAGGTAAGTTGTCAGCCTTTACACTCTCCTTTATTACAAAGAGGACTAAAAAGGTAAATTTCCAAAGCAAAACAAAAAAAGAAAGAAGGCTACTTGGTTCTAACTCTGCACAAAACTTGCAGATCTAAATGAGTTCTGAAAGGATGGCATCCAAGCTTACAAATCTAACGCTTTCAGCTTCACAAGCAGAGAAACAAAGATTAGAATTGATTTCTCATACCATGCTTCATGTTAGCTAGCAGCCATGTGCAAATCTGAGCTCAAATTTGAATATGGCAACTGCGGTATTCAAGAATGCGGCAAAGTCGACTTTCTGAAGCAAAGCCACCACACAGCCAGGCAATTAAGAGACCCAGTAAAAATAATCTTCCTCTACACTTCAAGCTACAAACAAGTTGTATGGTTTAATATTAAAGAACTGCTTCCCAAAGAAATATGGCACGCTTGAAAATTTTAAAAGATAAGTTACACCTAGAGGCACAGGCAGAAAAGTGTTCACTGAACTCTTTGTGCTTAAAAAAACGTGATCAGAATTGGGATTCTAAAACCAAGACAAAGGGACACCATCAACTTAAAGTTAGCACTTCTGTCAGGGTTTGTTTTAAATTCTCTTCTGTTGGGTTTTTTCTCCCTAGCTCATTTAACTTCAGGCATTACTTCTCCAAACTGTGATCCACTACTCTGTGTGCAGTTAATCTCCCTGTTTCTTGGATATCCAGTTTTACGTCCTACACTGGAAATGAATCCACTGAAAAGGAGTTGGAACCTAAGTCTCCATAACAAAACGTATACAAGTAACAGGATTAGGCACGCTATCTGGAAGTTTATCTCAATTCTGTGAACGGACCTGATCTCAAGTTGATGATGCCCCTTTAATCATGCTTTAATTCTGAAAAAGTCACTGTTACTGCTAGCCACCCACCTTTGCCATTTCCTCCCCATCATCCTTCCAATACACAGGTCAGAGTAAGAATTAGGTTTAAAAGAAGACTTGATGTTTGATAAAGCATGTGTTCAAGGTTTTAAAGAATTAGCTAAACTTTTACCTTTACAGGAAGCAAACACTACTCTGGCATTCACAACCTGGGTTTTATTTTTTCACTTATACATTGCACCTTTAACCTACTCAAAACTTCAAAAGGCTTTGAATTAAACTTTTACAATATTCAAGAATTTCCCCACCAGCAGCAAAGATGCTAGTGTTTACAAGGAAAAATGCAAGTCCTTTTAATCCCTTTTAGACCAAACCTATTGCTTTTATCTTCACCTTTCAAACAAAAGGAGAGATTTAACAAACCTTATCAACTAGTCTTCTATTACTCATTACTTTCAACAGAAAAAGGGACCGGGTTCTACTTGAAGACAGCTTCAAGGGGGTAAACAACATTGTCAACCAGGATAGTTTGCTTGGACAAAAAACCCACACTGTACTGCACAGTGCATTCATTTTAAAGCAGTGGTCTTGAAAGGGTTTAAAAGAGTGTCTAGTGAAAAGAATCTGAAAAGATTCTGTACTTACTCCTCGGCCTCGGCCTCTGCCTGTTGATGGTCCTCCAAAAGCATCATAGTTTCTGCTTCCAAATCCACTTTCAGGATAAGCAGGCGTTCCTCTCCCCCGAGAGCCTACAGGTGCAGGCTTCATATGGGGTGAAGAAAAACTGCTGTAGGAAGAGTAACTCTCTCTTCCTCTGTCCTCCATAAACCCAGGCCTCAATTTTGAACGGGAGTAAGGTGCTTCCCAGCTAGACCCGCCCTGGTTTCTACCTCCGAAAGAGTCAAGGCTATTCCGGTAGGAGTTGTCAAATCGACCACCATAACTACCTCCGAAGCGGCTTTGTTCGGGTTCATTATAACCATAGCCAGATCTGTACAGATCTCGCCCACCCAGAGAAGACCCGGAGTCGTAAGACTCATAAGGTCCAAACCTGGAAAAGTTGCACAGTGAGGAGAAAAAAAAGTAAGCTTACTAATGTTATACATTTCAAAAGACAAGTTATCAGTTGACATTTATCAACTAAAATCATTTTATTACTATACTGGTCCGTACAGTTGTGTTATAGTTTAATCTTGATTAGGGCTGGGCAAACCACACTATGACCAGATAGAAAGCTATCTGAGCCATTTTTGCTACAAACAATTCTAAAGTTCAGTATGCCTGAACTTTGTTTACTTAAAATTTTCAGCAACATTTACTAAAACATTAGAGCCCAGCCCTAGTCTCACAAAAATCATCACCTGCAGACATTCATAGGCTAGTCAAAAAACTCTCCTTTCTTCAAAATCATGCCCTCATATTCTAACAGTTAAACAGCAGTTAAAAGGCGACTTAGTTGCAAACTAAGTAGAAACAAAATCTTTTATTTTAGCGGTACAGTTGTAACACCCCATAGCTCTAATTTTAAAGGAAAAATACAAGTGCTTGCCCATTCAGATTTGTACTTTTCAAAATTTTCTTCCCTTTAAAACTCAGTCTCCCACTCAAAGAGTTCACAATCTTCAGCGTATCCATCTTTCACTTGCATACCATTAAAGTCTAGCAACTCGGGATTTTGAAAGTCTATCCCAATGCATGCACAGTGGATAAGAAAACAGTCCTTGGAGTTTCAGAGTAGAGTAACAAGGAGCTGAAATCTTGAGTTATTTACCAAGAGTCTGCTTTGCCTTGGGTGGGGGGGGCAGTGTCAGGCTAGAAATCATCACTATTTGTAACCACTTGGAAAGGAAACACGTTAGTGTCCCTGCAGGGTTACAACAGGGCGACTCAGCAGGAGCTGGGAAAGACAACCCCTTGACTGATAAAACACAAACTCAAAGATAGTTAATTTACTAACTACCTATAGTAAACTGAATGCCTTCATTTTAAAATATGTTAGTCTCAGAAGACTCAAAGCTACACAGAAAGTGGCACTATCGACAGAAAGAGCCCATGCACAATATTAACGTTACATGGCAAGAGACATTCCAGTGTTCATTCAGCTTCAATCATATGCAGATTACTATATGGTAGGTACAATCATTCCTGAATCTCTGCTTGGACTTCTAAGTCAATCTTAATGTTCGTCATCAAACAAATTAGACTGAACTAAAATGTTGAACAGAACCGTGCAGCAAAACACACCACTTCTCCAGCCTCCCTACTTCGTACTGTCCTTGCCTAGTGGCACCACAGTGACTACAGACAAGAATCATACACTAGTCTGGCTACAGCCAGACAGGAATTGAAGGGCGCACACAGGAAAACCATCAGATTATCTAAGTTTTCTTCCCATTTTATTTCCTCCAAGATAGAATCACTACTCTGAAAAGGATGCTTCTTTGAATACAATATTAAGACCTTGATCAAATCAGCTGCTCCCTACTGTTTTTATCTGAAAGAGCAACAGTATCCTGGCATTTAATACACAACTTTAAGACCAACTGCATCAGAGTTTTTATTTTTAGACCAATCCACCTTGCAAAGCAGCCCAGAACACGCACACCGTTTTGAGTGTAATCAGTACCTGCCAATGGAATAATCTGGACATGACTTTCAATAGCAAGATCATTTGAGCACTGCACATTCAAACCAAAGAACACACACCCTAAATGTTCCTTGAAAACGGAATGTTGATAGATTCAGTCTAGGGCACTAAACCAGTTAGGTCTAGTCTGCTATGTCAGAAATGGTACGTCAGGCCAATCAGCTACAAATTGCTAGCCATTACCAAAAAATAAGACTTTGTCCATTTTCATTCAAAGGCGCATTATTTCACTGTCAAGCTTTTCCACAGAAATGTTGATTATTACGAGAATCTAGCTCTTACAGTTTAGTATTTGCCAGTATTTATCAAACATGAAGACTCGGAATGAAAAGTGTTCATACAAAATCGTAACAACATGCCTCAGGAACACTTAAGTTAGAAGACAGAATGACTTAAACTTCAATTGGGTTTCATCAATCTGTGGGACAACTGAAGGATTATTTTACCTGTTACCACCACCACCACCTCCTCCGCCTCCACCTCCATGACTCTCCATCCCATAGGATTGGTTAAGGTAAGAGTCCATGGATCGTGGGCCACCATAGCCTCCATGCCCATAATCACGGTCCATGTCTAAAAAAAGAGCAGAAAAATGTTTATAAAGAAAGCAAACAAGAAGTCTTATTAAGTAATCTAGTTTAAATTCTTAATGTACAAAGTTTACTCTTTGCCACAGTGCTTACAAATAAAACACAAAACTGACAGCTGCAAAGCAATTTTGACACTGTGCTTAGGGAAGCCCTCTGTCTTTGTCATCATCTGAGCACCTCCTAACCAAAATAGAATTAATTTTTTTTTCCCCCCAGTAGTGGAAAACTCAGGATTATTGTTCCATCAGCTGGAATTCAGACGCAAGTTTAATTAAGATAATTAAATGGAGAAGCCCAATATAGAATATGTCAGAAGTTAGTGGAGAATTAAGACCGCTACCCTCCCTTCAATGATACCCGCAGCTCACAGGCACCTGGTTTCTCTCTCCATTCAACACCACAGGAAACCTTCACTTGCACTGACAGAGACCTTGGGTCAAGGTTACAAGCTGTCATGCTGCAATGCAGACTCTGTATATAGGCTATAGCCAAATAAAATAATTTTCTCCAATCTAGCACAAACAAAAATACATCCAAACCAGTAGAGCTGCAGTTCACTAACTGCACTGAGATGTTGGCATTTCACAGCTGAACTGCTGTCACTTTGTGACATATTTCTACCTTGTAGTGAAGCCTGGCAAAAGAATCAACTTCTTTCTTCAACACTGGAAATCCTATGTAAAAGTTCTGGTTAAACAACCACTCAAATTCAAAGCACTAAAACAGTATGATCTACTGCCTTCCTGTACCGTACACATTTTGCACTCAACTGGCATTCTTGTAACCAAAACTGCTTCCTGGTACCAACCTACATTAACTTTTGGGCAACACAAAGAAAGCCTGGCAAGTCAAGTCTCACAGAAAAAGTAACAGAGAAGGAAAACACAGTGAACACAGGAAGAAAAAAATACAACCACGCAGACTTGTCCACTCTAACAAGGGAGTATTCTATACATTTCAAGATCTCCAACTGCAAACCACTGACTTTTCCAGAAGATAACAGCCCAACAAGCCCACTTGTAGCCGTAAGAAATTACCTGTTTAAAGAAACGTGGTCATTCTGTGTGCATACCATTTCATGTAACTGTAGTGATGAAAATAAGTATATATACTAATCCCTGTCTGTACCTGCTTCTTGTTAGCACCAGGCAGCTGTTGCAATTTACTTTCTTACGTCTGTCAACAAGAATTCTACAGATGGTACTGAGCTGACTTTGATACTGGTGTTCTCAACATGCCTGAACAGACTTCAACAAATGAAGATATCATGCTGATGGTTTTTTATCTTTTAATGACCACAGACACTTTCTAAAAAGTCAAAGATACTTCTGAAAGAAATGAATATGAATATGAAATTCAACTGAATATGAAAGTCACACTGCATCTTTCCATATTCCAAACATACAATAAAGACTCTGCAGCAAAGAAGAGCTTCTCAAAATACTAATCATGTAGCGCCACACAGAATCAGCTTAAACTCCAAAAAGTTATGCTTTAAAGAAGTGGAAGAGCCTTGTAATGGAAGCATCTAATATTCCTCTGGTGCGACTGAATGAAACTGCTGAATGAACTGCTCTGTGACAAGGAGTTACTAAAAATGTACATGGATTTGAGAAAGAAATTGGGTAAACCCACTGACAAGAAATTAAATTGATGTCAAACACAAAGATTACGTCTCTGGTTCAGAATGTCCCCAAGCTGCAAAGCAGTGAATGCACATAAACATACTGACAAGTACTTGTGCTATTCCTTCCACATCTCCAGAAGGACAGTGACACACAGGACAGTGGTGAGAGGCATCTTTAACCTGACCTAATGAAGGTGATCTTATGGTGTCTTTCCAACTACTTCATTAAGTGTTTCAGACTGCTGAGCAGTTAACCTAGTACTCCATGCACAGGCTCAGTCATTCTGCCAGCTGCAAACTTTACCAAAGATTTACAGACTTTGCACTTCATGCCCAGAGCTTAACAAACATACTGCATTCAAACAAGAGGTGCAGTATTTCTTCAGGCATTAACCTCTGAAGGTCCATTCTCCAGGTGTACATTTTCCTCCTTTCTAGGATGAAGCCTAAGAAGCCAGGAAATATTCACTTAGGTGAACACAAATAAAAGGATTTCAGTTGTTGAATGCAATAGCTGAATAATAATCCCTTGCATAGCTTTAATTATTACAGTCTTGTGGTAAATAGCTTATTAGTTGACAAACCTCACAACCAGGCATCCAAATCCATTCACACTGGCCTGCTTCACACTTCTGACTCTTCTTCTACTAACTAAAACAAGACACCTGGACATGGAGCATTAAAAAGGTGGTACCTGCCTGTAGCCTGCTACCCCTTCACTGCTGTGTTAGCTCTGGCTGTCACTGCCAGTGCAGATACACAGAAGTTTGCCTGTGGAAACCATTCAAACTCAAAGTGAAACTGTTTCACATGCTAGAAGAGCAGGTGCTTAAGCACTAGAGAAAAAACACCAGGGGTTGTACTGCGGTGTCCCAAACTGAAAATACAAGTGTAGTACTTCAGCTTCATTTGTTTAAACAGTAGCTGTTTATCAAGGAAACCTTTGAAGAAATATTAGGTCTGTGTATCCATGAATACTGCAAAATGAAAAACAGAAGAGACTCCTAAGGTTTAAAAATGAAATAGTAAATCTCTGAACTGACAAAGTGCCTGCAACAAAGAGTTTATTGAAGGAATAAATCAGGTTTTGGTATCTGCAGCTTCTTGCATAAGTATGGTGTGGATGAATGAGCTGTTTAACTGAAGTACAGAGATAGAATTGTAAAGAAAGATTTCACTTTTAATTTCTGGACCATACTTAAAAGTCAACTGGGATAGGGGAGAGGACAGAAGAGTTATGTCAAAAAAGTATATATTACCTTTAAAATAAAAAAAGAACAGGACACAAAAAGACAAGTTCAACTTACAAATTAAAATGTTATATATATATATGTATCCCTTCAGATTAAAAAAAAAGCCACATCTGCTGGAGACATCACTTAAAATAGCTGCAAAATAAATCTCACTAGCCAGTAAAGAAAAAAAACGATAAATTTTTCCTTAGCAAGGGAACTGGGAAGTTAAGCATGTAGTAGATAAGACCCAGAATCCTCTGGTACAAAGGACTCCATTTAAAAAAAAAAGAACAGTGAAATCATATTCAGAGCACAAACAAACAAAAAAATAATTCAGCAGTGTTCTCCAAGTGGAGCATATGAAAAGGCTAGGAAGATGAGAGAAAGGAGAAAGATCTTGCAGTAATAAACAATAAATGAAATAAACTTCAGTAAAGTAAAAATAACCTTTAAACAATAAAATAGAAATAACCTTCAAACAATAAAAACCCAGAAGTAATGGTTTGAAACACGCCAAATTTCCCTATATTTAAAAGTCATGATCCACAATGACTATAACAAGCTTAAAAATCCATTGTGCAATAGTAAGCAACATTTTTTCCAGGCACTTTACATTTTTCCTAATGCCATGCCTGCTTTAAGATTACAATCTTGTCATTAGTTTCAACACGTCATTGAGTCCTAAGCAAAACAAGGAATCAACCCAACAATGCAGCTGAATTTTTGGAAGAGTAGGAAAAGCCATTCCCCCTTCCAGATTAAAAGGACAATAGTTAGAGTGATCAAAATAGTAACATGAATAGTTAATGTTCTACAGGCCATGCCATCCGTCTCAAACCAAGACATCAGCAAGGGACAATGACAGATTTACAGCCATCCACGGAAAAGTGCTTCACACTGGCTGAAAGTTTTCAACAGGAAGAACCTTGCCAAGAACTCAAATGAAAACTGCGCAAAGAGGAAAACTCTCGACATCCATCCTCTGTTGCCATCTACTGGACCCCTACAAAACAGCCTTTAGCCCACTGTAGAGTTGTGGTAAGACAAAGCTTTATGCAAGCCTCACTAACGTACACACAGCACATAAACATTAATGTCAAGTGTTCCGAGCTGCATACATCATAATTAAACTTGTTTAATAATTATAAACAACAGAAATCTTAATTATCACAATGAAAACCATTACAGAGGAACATGAACAATCTAATTGTACGACATACATTTGAACGGTTACCTCCCACAGGATGAGCCTGCAGTCACTTTACTACTACTGCCATCAGATCTCAGAAAATCAGGGTCTGGTTAATGGCTACAGTGAAAGGTCCAATAAGTTAATTAAACTGCTACTCATAAGAGCCTTTTCTACTAAAAATCTAAAGGACATTTAATTAGGAAGCAGTACAGAAGACTAAAAAAAAACAGCTTTATGTATTTTACTATGAAGAAAGACAAAATGTAAAATAATACCATTGGTAAAGAAGCTAAGACTCAAGGAATGTACCATAAAAATGATCACACTGCAGTCCAACATGCATCTGCAACCCAATGTGTTATTTCTGTATAAAAGCCAGCAGGATTATCAAGAGATCAAACACTTATTTGATGACATCTGTAAACGAAGCTTTGGTGCAGTTTATGGTAAAGTTTTTCTATTAACATCCTTTAAAGTACTTGCTGGCATGCTGGCAAGAGATGTCAAGCGATTTCTTGAGTCTTACTAAACTCATAATCTTAATCATTTTACAAAAATATGTGCATTCGTTTCAGCTGTATCTATGTGGTATTTTTGATAGTGTAAAAACAAGAGCTATTTTGCTGCATCACATTTACTTCATATGCTTTATATATTCCTTCCCAAACTCCTACTTAAACATAAAAAAAAAGAATCAAGCAGTTCTAGGTTCTGGTTTATTCCATGTCTGTATAAAAGGGAGAAACATCCTCTTTCTTTTGGGAAGCAGCAGTAAGAATCAAATGCAGTAGTTCATAAGAAAACAAAATACTGACTTATACAAAAAGAATCATCATATGGAAAGGCTGTATTCCCCCCCCATCCCCACTCCTCGATCTCACATTTTTGATTTGGAACGTGCAGGAGCTCATGTTGACATGCCCAAGATGAAAATCAAGTCTCACTCCCAGCCAGTTATATCTCCTCCAGACAACAACATGTGCACTCAAACCATCTTACGTACTTTTAATAACCCGTTTGCTTTTTGTTTTTGTCAACACTGACTGCTCAGCCCCAACGCTTTTTACAGGTTAGACGTATTTATAGCTCATACCTGAGACTGACCCACTGGGCATGTTCACACCACAATGCATGGGGGTATCTGGGAATCTCCAATCTCTGTCTTCAGCTGGAGAGGATGGGTCAGTGAGAATGACTTAGTGCTTAGCAAGAGCTGGAGGGGAGAGACAGGGAGC